GCTGAGGGACCGGGGAGGGGGACACACGGGACTGACCAGGAGGGGACAGAGCACCCCTGCAGGGACTGGGGTGCTCTGGGGCTGTTCCCCGAGCCCGGGGTGCAGGCGCTGAATAAAGGGTGTTTGGTGTGCAGCTGCCTGTGGCTGTGTCTGTGCCAAGGAGGAGCCAGGATGGCCCGAGGGCACTGCGGTGGGAGGAAGGGGGAAGAGGGGGGTGCTGGTGGGGTCCTGGGCACGCTGGGGGTCCCCCCCCCCAGGCTCTGTGCTGGGGGCACTGCTCCCTGCCAGGGTGTGCAGGAGGTGGGAGCCCAAAACACATCAAAGCCCGTCACGCACCGTGAGAGGCACCTGCGGAACAGGCAAAGGTCGGTGGAGCCCGTGGTGTGCCAGGAGCGGGAGTGGGGGCACCCGTGGGCCTGCACAAAGCCCAGGGAGGACCACTGTGTGCCCCGGGGAGGGAGAAGGGGCCATCCAACTTGAAGAAGGGCTGGCAGAGCCGTGGGAGGGAGCAGAGCCTGGTGGGGATCTGCCAAAGGCTCGTGGAACCCGCTGAGCACCACGAGGTGGGGAGCGCTGTGGGGGCTCCTGTGGGCTCGGGCAGAGCACAGAGAGATCCACAGCTGACCCTGGAATGGAACAGGGGCCTCTGTGGACACGTGCAAACCCATCAGATCCCACTGTGACCCTGGGAAGGAGCAGGGGTCTGTGTTGTCCCATGTAAAGGGACCCTCTGCCCCATCCCATGCAAAGTTCTGTGGAGCCCCCCGGGCACCCTGTGAGGGAGAAGGGATCCCAGAAAGCTGGGCAAAGCCTGGGCCATGCCCTGGGAGGGAGGACAGTCCCTCCATCTCCATTTTAGTTCATCATCATTCATTTTTTCCTCTGGTTCTTTACACCTCGTTGCTTTATAAAATTTACCTTTCACCTTTATCCCATTCACTGACTTCCTTTTTCAAACATTTCTTGTCTTTCTTTAGTGCCCTCCCTTCTGTGATTTTTGCTCTATGTCTCTGTTCTATTCCAGTTCACTGTCCCTATTTTTCCTTTTTTCCTCCCCTTTTTTTCTCCCCTTTCTCCCTTTTTATTTCCCCAAACCAAGGTCTTTGCCTCACCACACCCCATCCACACAGGAAGGAGCGAGGTTCTTTCTGTTGCCCATAAATTTGTCTGCTGTGATTTGTACCAGCTATAGGAATGTACCCCCCCCCCCATCTGACCAGACTTGGATAAACTGAGGGAGGGGGAGGGTGTCATTATGTTAAAGGATAAATCTACTGACCTGAGGTGGGATCTTCCCCCACCCAAATCAACCCCAGATCCTGAGTGCAGTGACTCAGCTCCAGAAGTAAATCTGACGCTCAGTGATCGCTGTGGACCCAGAGAGTGCAAGGGGGATGAATCCTGCCAGGCTTTGCCCCGTTGGATCCTTTTAAGGAAGGAGAATATTGGATGGGATGGGACACCCGTGGGTGTGTGAGGCTCCCAAACACCACCTGAGCCATCACAGTACAGAGGAACAGGACAAACTGCAGTAAAATATTTCCAATTAGAACTCAGCTGTGGAAAAGGCACTTATCCTGCTCCTCCAGGACTGGCTCGGGGATGCTCTTGTGGAAATGTTCTGTTCTTGCCTAACCTTAAAGGAACGTGCAGGATTGAAATGTGGAGTGGGCATCTGTGTCCAAACACAGTTTTTCATTGTTCAGTGCCCAAGTCAGCCTGACAGAAGTGTGACACTGTTAGGGGGGGGGGGGATTTACAGCACAGGAATGGATGAGAAACCCTGAAAAGCCTGATTGTTGTCTGCTTGGAGAGGAGAAGGTTGTGTGGAGACCTCACAGCACCTTCCAGGCCTATAGGGCACAAAAGAGGGTTCCTGTGGCATCAGAAACTGGAGTGACAGGACACAGGGAATGGCCTCCCACTGCCAGAGGGCAGGGTTAGATGAGATATTGGGAAGGATTTGTTCCCTGTGAGGGTGGGCAGGCCCTGGCACAGGTTACCCAGAGTAGCTGTGGCTGCCCCATCCCTGGAAGTGTCCAAGGCCAAGCTGGACTGGGCTTGGAGCAACCTGGGCTGGTGGAAGGTGTCCCTGTGGCAGGGGGTTGGAACAAGATGAGCTTTAAGATCCTTCCAACTGAAATCATTCCATGATTCTCTGGTTCTACCTTCAGAATGGCTTTAGCCCTCGGGCTTGAAGCAAGTTGTCTCCCTGTGTAATAATTGGACATGAATGGGCTCTAGAAAATGCAACCTGGCAAGTAGATGCTCTGGGCAACTGGGCAAGATGTGCTTTTGGAGAATCAAACCTGCAGCTGAGCAGGCATCGAGGATGACATTGCAAAATGGATTGGTGTTTTTAGACACGTTGTGATTAAAGGAGCAAGGGGCACGTGGGATGTTAAACTTCCCCGACAGGGAATGCTGTGATCACAATGCTGTTACCCCCCAGAGAAGCAGCTCCATCCAGGGTGAACAAAAGCACTGAGCAAACAGTGGGATTGTTCCAATAACGCAGCCCACGGACTGGTTTGGTGCACGGAGTCCTGACCCAGGGATCCTCTCGCTGTTACAGCTTCTGGACTTGTAGGGTGTGGGAAATGACCGATGCAAACAGCAGTGATGCTTTAGTGGGATTTCTGTTCCTAAGGCTTGGCATTGCCGTTGTTTGCTGTAGGATTTCTCTCTTGCTCTCTTTCATCCCTTCTCCTCCTCCTCCTTCTGTTCACTACGTGAAATCACGGCCCTGGAAGAGCTCACGGGAACGCGATTTAACCGGTTGAGCCACGGGGTGGTGGTGTTGTCCCGGAGCGGGTTCTTTCGCCCCTTGTGCAAGAGGGGCCGCTCCAAGCGCAGAAACGCCTTTGATTTATTTACAGTTCTGCGCGGAGAGCGGGGCTGGGCAACCTGTTTGGGGACAACGGTGGGAGGCTGAAGCGTTAAATGTCAGCGCCTCAAACACTCGGCAGCTTGCAAAGGCACCAGGGGCTTCGCCGAGGCCGGGTCTGCACCTTTAACCGAGGGGGCAGGGGAGAGGTTTGGGTGTGGCGGCGAAAACTCCGATCTGCCCGGCCACGACCAGAGGACTTTTAAAGACTCGGCTCGGGGGAAAGGCACGCCCAGCACCGGAACACGGGCAGGGTGGACCAACATGCCACTGGATCCAAGCATGGGGGTTCTTTTCTTTTCTTTTCTTTTCTTTTCTTTTCTTTTCTTTTCTTTTCTTTTCTTTTCTTTTCTTTTCTTTTCTTTTCTTTTCTTTTCTTTTCTTTTCTTTCCTTTCCTTTCCTTTCCTTTCCTTTCCTTTCCTTTCCTTTCCTTTCCTTTCCTTTCCTTTCCTTT